CCTGCTGAAACTGGACCCGAACTGATCATCTAGATGGGCAGCACATGCTACACTGGTAGGGCAACAGGCTCTCTTGCAGCAAATAATCAGGGACCTTAAATCCAAGGAAAGTGCTAGCCTCCCTCATAGGATTCATAATGCACTTCAGCACTTATTGCTGTATATAGCAAGTTAAACTACGTAACTAGTTTGAGTGTTTCTCCATTTAACATTAAGCTTAGGTCTTCTTAGAGCACTTAATCCTTCTTGGGTTTTTCTTTCTTCCAATACACAATTTCATGAATTGAGAGGACTAACAATGTAAATATGAAAGTGCAACAAAGTAGACTTTGACAGGTCTAGCAGGTATGAGCAAGAATATTTTCTGCTTAAATCTTGCGCTTTCTCAAACTTGCTAAAGCTAATGAGATGTTTACTGAGGAGGTATCAAGATCTGGATCTGCAATTCTGACTGCTTTGCATCAGATGTTGTAAAGCTTTCTGGTGTAAGGCCACAATTCTTGAACTATGCTTAGAACTAAACCCCATTTTAAAAAAAAGTTTCTTGAAATGAACAGTGGTAACAAGCTCAGCCTAGCTTCACAAGAAGTCTTCTCTAGAGAAGGGGAACATTTATCTTTAAGACAAAGCAAAGAAGGTTACCTGGGTACCCTGAAACTTAATGCCAGCTCTACTAAGCAGCCTGAAAGCAACAGGACTTTTAATAGAGTTGCTCAGTGCAAAGCACCATGTCAAGGACAGACCTGTTTTATGATGAGTCGAAGACCATTCTTACAATTTTAGCTTCCATACCCCACTGCAACTCCAAGAGGGTCTAAATTCCTGTTTGTCACTTGGCTTCAATGATCCATTTGAATTTCTAGTGATGTCTATCACAGCCCAACACATTTACAGTCATACAAAATCATTTATACTGGAATATATCATATCAGGGTCCTTAATTAGTTCAGTCTATTGCAGAAGACAGGTATAGGCCTCTTCTTCCCTGTCCACAGGGCTTGTAAGCAGAGCTGCTGTCAGGAGCACTGACTAGGAATCCCTTTACTTCCACAGCATACTAAGA